CCCCCCCCAACCCAACAACAATCTTACATGGTATCAGGGGGGAAATGCTAGATTAAATTGAGTTAAGACAATAATCTAAAATAGGGAAGCTGACAATAGCAATAATCAACTAATACAGGACCCTCTTCACAACCATTATGATTTCAAGACTTCCACTGACTGGAGAAAAACACATGCAGAAGCTTTATATGAGAAAAAGGTGATACATTCCACGTTCATGCTGTTTTAATGATCTTGTACCACCTCCTTATAAGCCTAAAACTAAGATACTCTGGTCCAAGGAAAACCAAACTCTCCTAACTGCTGCTCATAATTTCCAATAGATTCCTAGAGGGTCAAGATTCTTGGACATCATGGAGTATAACGCCTTAAAAGTTGCATAGATTTATTTTCATGACAAGCACTTTAGACTGACCCGGTTATGAGCATGAACAAGAAAATAGATCCTTGTCTCCAAGAACTTTGCAGCAGCAAAGTTTGCAAAGCGAACATGAAGTGGCAAGCACCGTGATGTATTAACAGATGGGATGCCAGAGTTAGAAAATTAAGGTTGCTGTTCCAGAAAGTTTGCAATCTCAAATCTTGATAGCTTCTGGAAAAACCCATCTACTTGATCCATTACGTGTCCTGCGTATATCGCATGGCATGAAGATCTCACTCTAGAAGAGTTAACTCATGATATACCTTGTGAACGAAAGATACATGGACTAGATTCTCCGTTTGGCAATTCCAAGGAAGATCACAATAACCCAAAGATACCACAAGATCCACTGGTGAGTTCAACAATTCAAGAAATCGAGCATGATCGTGCTCGTGCTAGTGCCAGAATCGTTCCATGGCAAAAAGCCACAACGGACAATCAATGGCCACTACCACACAAAATAAAAGGAGCATCCAAGGTTTAAAAGGATCGCACCTATATATCCTCCACGGCCTCCAATTCACAGCCCAGAGGATCCAAAAACTGAGAGGACTCAGGACACAGAAGAAAACCCCACAGACGGTGCATGCCAGAACGACCTGATGCTGCTCGTCTCCTTCCATGCCTTCTTCTGCCCCCCACCCAGTTTCTAGTCAAACCATGGAACCGGAACTAGATGCCTGCAGCAAAAGAACATCAAAGATTCAAGAAGGCAACCCTTCCAAGACCAAAATCAAACCTTCAAAGAGCAAGAAGTAACCCTAATCAAACCAAGCAGCATACAAAGAAAAGAAAGGAAATCAGCAATTTTTCGTTTCAATTCGAACCTCCCAAGATCCGACCATTTCTCGAAAAATGGTTTGGTTGGCAAACGCACGGACAGAAAAAGAAACAAGAAAAATCCAAGAAGAGAAAAGATTAGGACAGTTTGGACGCCGACCAGGTCGGAAGATCAAAGATCAAGCGTTTCGAACAAGAAGACTCGCGAGAGGAATCTTGATCTGTGGAAGAAACCCTAACTGGGAAAGGGGGGCCGGGGGGGCGGGAGAGGGTTAGGTGGGGGAAGGTGAGACACGGGGAGATGGGGAAAGGCCGTCCTTTGGCTCCCGGAAGCGGTGTTCTTCCCCGAGCCGTCGCCGGGGACCGAGCTGGAGCGAGGGGGAAGAGCGAGAGGCCGGAGATTTTTCTACTCCCGCGATGAGAAAACCCTCGGAATTGAGGATTTAGGAAGAATAAGGGAGTGAGACGGGCAAGAGGAGTCAGCCAGTGGGAAGAGAAGGTGACGTTTGTCAACTCGCTTATGCTGCCGAGGGCAGCGATATAAAGCGACCCGACCCCCGCGACTGACTGAGTCAGCCGGCCTCCCATTTTCCTGGGTGATGCATCTCTCCCCGCCGTGGGACCCGCAATCCTATTCGTGGAACTTACGTCGACCAGGGGAGCTCTGCTGGTTGGTTCGGCCATGGCGAGTAAAATGGGAGCGTAAAGACCAAAGACGCCAGGGAGTGACGACGCTTTCAGGAACTTTTCCGTGTTTGGTGTTTTGTAAGACCAAAAAAACATTTTTAATGCATTAAATGTAAAGGAACGAATAAGAAAATTGTGTTGTTTTCAGGGAGAAAACATTTTCTGTCATTCATGATAGATGAAAAAGTAAAAATATTTTTTTATAAAAGAGAAAAAAAAGAATCGGGGAGCGTAAAAACACTTCTCGTATAAAGCATTCGATTTAAGAGACATAATATATCGACAAATCGATATAATGTGAATGGTATATGATCGATATCTTAACACCCAAAAATGAGTTTAGTTGGTTTATCTTGGATTTGTTGTTTTGCATGACCGATATCGATATCTTAACACCCAAAAATGGTATATGATCGATATCGATTTAATTGCTTTGTGTAGAGTTTAATGATCGGGAAAAAAAATCAAGAAGTGACCGTAAGTAATTGGAATATTACGACTAGTTTTTTTGTTTAAGATCAATTTAACCAGAAATAGATAAATCACAAAAATACGCTGTGCAAAGTCATGTTCATCTTGAACAGACAGACAGTGAAACAGACAGAAGAAGAAGAAGACAAATATTACTGCAGAACAACATGAAAATAATAAGAGGGGATAAACTAATTTACAGCATACTACCAGTAAAAACTTAAATGTGGACAAATGTGTGTGTATCATGGAATCAAAGATGAGCTGCTCGGTCCTCCGAGTCGCAGTGGACTGGCAGCGTATGATTCGCTTTGTCCGATCTCACGTGATGGTCCAGTCGATCACAATCGGAGCAAACACACAGCAGCAACATTGAGCTCCCCACCCCTCTCTCTCTCTCTCTCTCTCTCTGTTGATACATAGGAAATTAAGTAGAACACGGTCTCAGCCAATCCCCGTCGCTGTTCGGTCGCAGTGACCGCTTGGTATGTCTGAAAGGGTAGACGATGGAAGGAAGACGGGGGATGCGTTCATAACACCGCGTGCTAATCGCGATATATAATTTGACTCTATTAATCAGCGGTATTGTGTGTCATATCATTCCAAAACTGGTAGAATCAACGACGTTTGTAGGGGAGTGCACAGAATTCTGCTTTCACGTGGATCAAAGCCTTACTTTCTTGTGACCTCGAAGGCCAGACGAATTGCTGGTTTGAAGTCCAAGCCTATGGGACCAAGAGGACAGGTAGAACAAGAAACCAGGAAAATTAGAGCACCTACTGCTGCTGCTGTGGCTGTGCGTTTGAAGTGCAGGAAAGAATGGCGTCCTTTTGTTGGCAGGAAGGCAGGGCAGAGTCGATTGGGAAGAGGCGAGTCGCAACAATTTAGGATCACGTGCTCTTCTAAAGTAACGTCATCATCGATGACAGAAAGATGGAGACGAAGGCTTGGCGCTACTACGCTGCTCATACACTACCCATAAATACCATGCGTTATCGTCTACGATGGAATGTACAGATCAGTGAGGATTTATTTCGCTTGTAGTTGCATGATAACACAAATGAATGCATTCTGAAATATGTAGACTGGTGGTCGTCTTCTGCAACAGATCATAATGCCACAAAGAAATCCATTTCATTAGCAACCCAACATGCCGAAAGATCACCCAGATGATAAGGATGGGGCCGGATGAACACAGTAGGGGATGCATTCTTCGTAGTCGAGCCTCCGACTTGGCCCAATATAAACACACACACACATGCTAGCAGGTCCAATGCACTGTGGTCGTGTCATTCCACAAAGGTTCCCTTCCACGCTCGACAAATCTTTGTGGTGAACCTGTGGACCGACAGTCGATGAGACTGATTTCGATTTGAGGATCTGATAGACACTCGGATATTTGATCGGATTATGGTTGATGAAACGTATGACGAAGCCTATGTAAGGATCTCTGTGCCCTTCGCCGACTTGAGTGCAGTGCAGGGACGCTTCCCCACACGGCAAAGCTGATCCATACATCTTCATAAATCAAACATGGAAGACAAAGTTGTCGAAAGGTGAAGGCCGGCCGGCGAAGCCGATGTAATGATGTACCGTCGATGAGGTGCGAGAATGACTGGGAGAAGATCCTCTAATTGTCTTGGAGAAGACAGCCTTCCCTTCCCACAACCAACGAGGGCGAGGTGGAAACGGAAAAGGAAAGTTCGGTGTGTTTGCGAGACTTGGGTTACGCGACTTCCTATTGCGCTTTCGTTTCCGTCACGTTTTCGCTTGTTCTCTTCTCCCCTCTCCTTTCCTCGAAAGTAAAGAAGGGAAGAAAGCAGCATTCATTATTGTTGTTTGAGGGCGGTGTTAGGCCGGACGTGGAAATGGAATCCCACTTTAGAGCATCGTGCTTGCGAACGCGGGAGACTCGGTGAAGTCAACGGTCGGGTCATATCGGTCAAGCCATTGTCCTCGTCATTTACATTCATACGATACATATGAACAACTTCCACTCGCACATGCTAATCATAAATGTATCATTTTTTAAAATTTTATAGATATATCATATAATAAGAATAAATAATAGATTTTTTTTTTGCTTTGATATCATCTTTAAACTACAACTTATTGTCATTCTATAAGATTATTAACGATGATATCAACATTTTTTTTTTCACCCTCTTCAATTTTTTTTTTATGATTTAGAGAACAATAATCTCTCGAATATTATATAATAAAATAATATCAATCTGTATTTTCTTAATATCAAGATTAATTTTTAACCGATTGATTCGCTTGATGACCCACTGCCACGATGAGATGGGCAAAAGTGTTGTTGAAGTAGATAAGAACAATTATAAGAAGATAAGAACAATAGAATATAAAAAGCTTTATTGAAGTAGAAAAGCTTTAGCTTGAATACATTAACATGTTCCTCTCCTATTTATACATATTAGGAGAGAGGATTTTCTTCAACAGAATAGAGGATTTCTCTCAACAAAGTAGAGAGATTTTTTTATATAGTTGAAAAAATCTTATCTTCTATAATGCCCCCGCAAGATGATGCTCCTGTCAAAGATACCAATCTTGAATCAACGTAAATAATGATTTACGAGCCAAAGGCTTCGCGAGTAGGGCAAGAACAGATCGCTGCTACTGTTGTTGTTGTTGCGGCTGTGACGGCGACGACTACAGTAAAGGAGAAAGCTAAGTAATAGAAAAAGTTATAGCAATGCTGTAGCATAGGAATAAGCTACATAAAAGAGGAAATTGCAGCAAGGAAGGAAGTTGCAGCGATGTTGTAGCGATGCTATAGCATAGGAGGAAGATACAGTAGAGGAGAAAGCTGCAATAGAGGTACAACAAAGGAGAAAGCTGCAACGATGCTATAATAGAGAAGAAGGCTACAACAAAGGAGGAAAGATGGGGCAGTGCTGGTGAGCGTAGCATTAGAGATGCCACAACGGAAGAGAACGGACGTTGATGCAGAGTGGCAGTGGAGAAGACAATGCTGGTGAGCGTAGCACTAGAGATGCCACAACGAAAGAGAACAGACGTTGATGCAGAGTGGCAGTGGAGAAGACAATTGTCGTTCATCGAGAAGGTGGCCTGACGACGGAAAAGCTGTGGTAGAAAGCTTTTTCTTTTGTCGACAACGAGAAAAGAGTTTCTCTCAACAGAGTAGAGAGATTTTCTCATATAGTTGGGAATTGTACCGATTGACCGTCTTTATAAATGAGCTCCCGAAGGACATATGGGCACGACCTCATCAATCATTAGCCTTCATCTATCGGCTACTCATGTATAAAAGTCAATCCCCAGGGCCTGAAAAGAGGACCGAAGAGATAACTTTTACTATTCATACTCCAACTATACTAATTTTACCATTGGAGAGATCAGATTGGGAACTCCCCGATGTTGACCACTTGTGCAGGACCCTAGCAAAGCCAACATATAACTTGGATTGTCTCCGGAAGTCTCGAGGAGGCCTAGGTCACCTTTACTCGATACATAATCCACCTTGCTTCAACCCGACCTTCCTTAGCTCAGGTCCTATCACACAATTATCACACGAGCCATCAAGCTTATGCCTTCGAGATAGAATCAGCTGTCGATTCCCAATCGGTCACATCAAGACAATAACAATTTTCATCCTCATCGAATTATTTGTGTGAGAAGCAAAAAACTCATCAATAATGTACACCGAGTGGTGATGGCTTCAAGTTGAGATCTAATTTTCCATCGGACTAAATCATCCCTTAAAATTCCGATGCATGATTTGGTCCCTTACAAATCAGATAATGTGCACCACATTCGATATCGATGCAGCATTTAGTGTACGTGGCAACATCATATTCCTTACGAGTGGAAGAGTTAAGACGCACCGAGCAGGAACTAATAATAGCCGATCTCTAACATAACAGGGGTCAAAAGGTTGGCCTGCAAGCGTACAGTAGATACAATGACATCACTATCGATTATATGTGAGAACGATAAGGGTACGATCCACTAATTGTCATGGGATGTCGGCCTTCACTTCCCACCACCGATGAGGGTGACGTGGGAATGGAAAAGGACTTGACTACGACTTCTTATCCTCCTTTCGTTTCAGTTTGCTAGTTCTTTCTTCTTCTTTTTTTCCCCTTCTCCTTTTCTCTGAATCATCCCATCCCAGGATGATGATCCAAGATACTGAAGAGTGAGAACTCCTTTAAGATAGTGAGGAGAAACGATGACGTAAAGAAAAGACCAGGAAAATGGCCTCTTTAATTTCTCGACGTGAAAGAAAGAATGCAAGAAGCTTCCGAGAAAGCCTCGGAAAGACGAACTATATTAAACTTGGGAGACCGATGGTGTTGTTAGGCCCGATGTGGCATCCGACTCCCGATCGATGGGTCAATTTAGACCTCGTCTTGCGTCGGCAGGAGACTCGAACAAGGTCGGGTCGTTTCATTAATTGTACCTATTCTTGGTTCTATAAATGCATGCATGTCCAACGTAGTCTATCTATCAACGAAATAGCCATTCATTCACCAAACGGAATGGACAAGAGAAGCACGTACACTGTCTCGCTGCACTGCTCTTGCCTGCTGAGCGTTCTGTTCTTGACGCTTGCGACGGAAACGAGGATGACGAAGGGGTGCATGGACGCGGAGAGGGACGCCCTCCTCGCCTTCAAAGCCGGCATCGACGACCCATCCCACCGCCTGTCGTCGTGGCGACGCCGAGTGGACTGCTGCAGATGGAGCGGCGTGGTGTGCGACGACAGCACGGGCCACGTCGTGCAGCTCAATCTCCAAAATGCGGGGAACATGACTTTCGAGTCGGTCGAGGCGGCTCTGCGTGGTGAGATAAGTCCATCCTTGATCTCTTTAACGCATTTGGATCGCTTGGATCTCAATCACAATGACTTCGAGGGTTCCCGGATCCCAGCATTCCTGGGCTCTTTTCCGAAACTGAGATACCTCGATCTCTCTTGGTCCAACTTCAGCGGAGCCATTCCGCCCCAGCTGGGCAACCTGTCGAGCCTCCGCTATCTGGATCTGCGTTCATACGACTTAACCACCGACGGCCTAGACTGGCTCTCGCGTCTCTCTTCCCTGAGATACCTCGACATGAGCGGCGTGAACCTCAGCACCGCCTCCCACAACTGGATACATGCAGTGAACCGGCTGCCTTCCCTCCAACAACTCTATTTGTCATCCGGTTGTGGCCTCACCACCCTCCCCACCTCTCTTTCCCATGTCAACCTCACGGCCCTCGCCGATCTGGAGCTCCGTGATAACTCGTTCAACTCCACCTTCCCCAACTGGCTTTTTGAACTCCCCCGCCTCTCCAATCTCGCGATCAGCAACTCTGAATTGCATGGCACCATACCGACTGGGTTTGGAAACTTGACTCGTCTCACACGGCTCGACCTTACCGGCAACTCGCTTGCCGGTTCCATACCCGCCGATATATGGAGTTTGACCAGTCTGACCCTCCTCGACCTCAGCCATAATTTGTTTACGAGTCGTCTTCTACCACAGATCGGGAACATGACTCGTTTGTCACAGCTAACCCTCGTTCACTGTTCGCTTATTGGCTCCATCCCTACCGAGATCGGGTACCTGACTAGTCTCACGGATCTAAGCCTCAGTGGTAATTCACTGACGGGTCAAATACCCATCGAGATCGGGAATCTGTCTAATCTAACCAATCTCGACCTGAGTCATAATCTGCTCTCCGGACTTATACCACCAGAGATTAGCAAGCTTTCCAACCTAATCACCCTCGATCTCTCCAGTAGCTATTTGGAGGGAACTGTGTCCGAACGCCATTTCGCTAACATCACAAAACTAATCGTCCTGTGCCTGTACGACAACCCCTTGGCCATGCAATTCCACCACAACTGGGTCCCGCCGTTTCAACTCCAGACCGTTAAATTGGACGCCATTAAATTGGGCCCTACGTTTCCCACGTGGCTTCGTTCCCAGAAATCCATCATGGATTTGGATATGTCCAACACGAGTATCCAAGACGCGGTGCCCCTTTGGTTCTGGAAGAATTCTTCTTCTTCCAGCATCATGGATATCAACCTCTCCCACAATCAAATCAGTGGCACTCTGCCAGCGTCCTTGGAGAGCATGTCCTGCTTGATGTTCTTAAATTTGAGCTCCAATACGCTTCGAGGTCACATTCCTGCTTTGCCATCGAACCTACAAGCACTAGACCTATCGAACAATTCTTTGTCCGGTTCGCTTCCATGGACCCTGTCACCGTTCTTGGCATACTTATTCCTCTCCCGCAATTATTTTCGGGGAAGCATACCATCCGACATCTGCGACTTGCAGCAACTCTATGCTCTCGATCTATCGAACAACCAGATATCCGGAGAAATCCCTCAGTGTTGGCAGGAGGCAACGAAACTATTCTTCGTTAATCTGTCGAATAATAGGCTGTGGGGGAAAATTCCTGACTCCATCGGAAACTTGAGCAACCTTGAGTTCTTGCACTTAAACAACAACAGTCTCTCCGGACGTATTCCGCCGTCGTTGCGATATTGCAATCGGTTAGCTATTATTGATCTCGGCGACAACAAATTTTCCGGGAACATACCGACATGGATCGGACAGAGCTTGCAAAATCTGGAGGTGCTTCGACTGCGCTCGAATATGTTATCAGGCAATATTCCTATGCAACTCGGGCAGCTGAGAGATCTTCAGATCATCGACCTCTCCAATAACAGACTGTCGGGGTCAGTGCCGCACTCGTTTGGCAATTTCAGTGCGATGATCTCTATCTCCAAGTCGATGTCCTCTACGATATCAAACAATGTAGAGTTTGTGCTATCCTCTTTTGTGGCCAGCGAAAGCATATCTCTGGTCACGAAGGGAGATGAGTTCAGTTTCTCGACCATTCTCAATCTCGTGAAAAGCATCGACCTTTCAGATAACGAGCTATCCGGAGTGATTCCTACGGAAATTGGTTCTCTTTTTGCACTGCAAACCTTAAATTTATCCAGAAATAGTTTTGGCGGCACGATTCCTGCAGCGGTTGGTCGGATGAAGTCATTGGAAACATTGGATCTGTCGTTCAATGAGTTATCTGGCGTCATTCCCGAAAGCTTTTCAGCGCTAGATTCTCTGAGCCACTTGAATTTGTCGTACAACAACCTATCAGGAGTCATTCCATCAGGGAATCAACTTCGGACGCTCGATGATGCATCCATTTACATCGGCAATGCGTATCTCTGTGGACCTCCGGTCACCGAGAGTTGCGTCAACGAGACTAATGTCGATTTCGAAGAAGAAGAAAACAAAACAGAATCTGATGTGCTATCATTTACTTTCAGCATTGCACTCGGATATTTGGTCGGATTATGGAGCGTATTTATCATTATTCTTTTCAAGAAAGATTGGAGGATCTTCTACTTCCGAGTGATGGATAACTTGTGCGACAAGATTTACGTAGCATTCAAGATACGGATCGCTAGGTTGGCGATGGATTAAAGGTCAATGCATTCGAATATCCCTACTTCACATTTTAAAGGTTATGTGACGGATAATCTCAAGCTTTTATTTTGTATACTTGTTCATTTGATGCTTAGAAATAGTACAAATATTATACGGCTAATAATGTTTTTTTAATGATTGGCTGCAGGAATGGTTTGTCGATTAGATGGTTGTGTGATGATTTCGAAAACTCACGGAGTCACCCAGGGAGTCAAAGGTAGCTCAGTGCATCCCATCCGTCCATTTGGGTGTTAGCCAGGATGATCTCTCGGGAACAAAAGCATATGGGAATCAACTTGGGATCCATCCATTTGCGTTGTAAATCTATATCTTTATTGGTGATTAGGTAATAAGAGTTGCATAATCAAGTTAAATTTAAATAAGTACGAAATCATTAATTTTGAAGGGAATACAAAAAAGTGGAATTTTGTAGAAAACGAAAGAGATGAAAAGAAATGCAGCCATTTGTTTCGCTACTGTGGGAACAATTACCCACAAAATCCTCATCATCTTCATCACTTGTGTATCAAACGAATCAATTTGTTGCGTGCCTTTGGGTTCCCAACAAAGACTTCCACACATGTGAAAGCGAAGCGTGCGTTCCGCTACAAACCTCGTCGAGTCTCCTCCCTCCTTCGGAAGGACGCTACATGTAGAGCGATGGCTTACCGTGTTATCTTGGGTGAGGAATCGTTTGCGGTGGGTCGGAGTCTTCATCCACACTTTTGTCTTCCGTGATGACGTTTGACATGTGGTGGCGAACATTTCGAACCCTGGAATGAGGTATTCTTCGCCTCCATACATTTCGACGCCTGGAATAAATGGCCGTATCTTTCAAGTTTGAAATCCAGCATCAATCTCTTTCGTTCTTGCGAACCGAGCCCCGATTTTGGGACCCAGGCAGGGTAGAAACCAAGTTCGAGGAAGCTACACGGTGCACGGACTGCAGGTCCAGCAGGAGTCGTATCCCACAAAAGTCAAAAGTCTTTTTATCTATCCATCGCTACCAGTGCATCAATCTTCACGTTTCACAGGAGTCTACGATGGGTTGGGGATGGGAGGGCCATCACGCCCCAACACCCACTCTATATATACATGTCCTCCACCGCCGACCATCTCTCAGTACACTATGCACTCACCAAATAGCATCATGGCCTCTTGCACCAGAAGCACACACCCTGTGCCTCGGCACTACTCTTTCGGGCTTTGGCTTACGAGCTTTCTTTTGTTCACGGCGGCAACAACGCCGACGACGAAGGGGTGCGTAGAGGGCGAGAGGGACGCCCTCCTCGACTTCAAAACCGGTCTCCTCGGGGGTCCTTCCAGCCGCTTGTCATCGTGGCGAGGTCGAGTAGACTGCTGCAGATGGAGCGGGGTGGTCTGTGACAACAGAACCGGCCATGTCGTGGAGCTTAACCTCAATCCAGACTATCTAAACAATGAGACGTCTATCGGAGGTGAGATCAGACCATCCTTGCTCCTGCTAACTCATTTGGAGCGTCTCAACCTCAGCCACAATGACTTCGGTGGGATCCAAATCCCGAAATTTTTGGGTTCCCTTACCGAGTTGACGTATCTCGACCTCTCCTGGTCCAACTTCAGCGGAGCCATTCCGCCCCAGCTGGGCAACCTGTCCACCCTCCGCTCTCTCAACCTAAATTCACTATATGACTTAACGATCGATGGCCTGCACTGGCTCTCGCGTCTCACTTCCTTGAGATACCTCGACATGAGCGGTGTGAAACTTTCCATGGCCTCCCACAATTGGCTTCAAGCGGTGAACATGTTGTCCTCACTGGAGGAGCTACATTTACATGACTGTGGCCTCACCGACCTCCCCTCTTCTCTTTCCCATGTCAACCTCACAGCACTGGCCACTCTGGACATCAGTGACAACCTCTTCAACTCCACCATCCCCAACTGGCTATGGAAACTCCACAACCTCTCCTATCTTGATCTCAGTTCTTCTATGTTTCATGGTGCCATGCCCGCTGGGATTGGAAATTTGGCCGATCTAAGAGAACTTCATCTGAGTGATAATTCACTTTCAGGTCCCATACCCACTGAGATTGGAATTTGTAATAGTCTAAAACTTATCTATCTAAGTTATAATTCACTCTTTGGACCCATACCTGCTGAGATTGGGAATTTGACTAGTCTAAGAGAGCTTTATCTTGATCATAATTCACTCTTCGGAGTCATACCTGCTGGGATTGGGAAGTTGACTAGTCTAGGAGTGCTTTATCTTAATGATAATTCACTCTTTGGACCCATACCTGTTGGGATTGGGAATTTGACCGGTCTAGGAGAGCTTTATCTTAACGATAATTCACTTTCAGGTCCCGTACCCATTGAGATCGGCAAGCTTTCCAACCTCACTATTCTTTCTCTCTCTAGTAATTCCCTAGAGGGCACCATGTCTGAACTCCATTTCGCTAACTTAACCAAACTAAGTGAGCTCGATCTATTCGAAAACTCCCTAGTCATCTCAATAGACCACAATTGGGTTCCTCCTTTTCAACTCCGATCCATTAAACTGAGTTCTTGTAAGTTGGGTCCTGCGTTTCCAAGATGGCTCCGTTCACAAAACTCCATTAGATATTTGGATATGTCGAACACAAGCATCGAGGACGTCTTGCCTGATTGGTTTTGGAATAACTCTGCTTCTTTTATAAATCTCTCCCAAAATCAAATTAACGGCACTTTGCCAACTTCCTTGGTTTTGCTATCTTACTTGCGTTATTTGAATCTGGCTTGTAATTCTTTATCAGGATCATTGCCATCGATCTTTCCCACACTAGAATTTAGAATCTTGGATCTCTCACGTAACCATATTAACGGGAGCATACCGTCCTTTATCTGCAACTGTCATCGACTTGATATTCTCGATCTATCGAGCAACCAAATATCAGGTGAAATCCCTTCGTGTTGGCAGGAGACAAACTACTTTTCCTCCATTAATCTGGCAAATAATAAGCTTTCGGGAGAAATTCCCAGCTCTATTGAAAATTTGATTTGGCTCGAGTCTTTCCACTTAAACAATAATAAACTACATGGGCTTCTTCCATCATCATTGAAAAATTGCAGTGCACTAGTTTTTCTTGATCTTGGCAATAATAAATTCTCGGGTAGCATACCTACATGGATTGCACAAAATTTTCTAGACCTAGAGGTACTCCGACTACGCTCAAATATGTTTTCCGGTAACATTCCTGCAGAGCTTGGGCAACTTGCTTATCTACATGTTATCGACCTTGCTAATAATAAATTATCAGGGCCAATTCCACACTCCTTTGGCAATTTAAATGCTGCAATGACTCATTGGAAACAGCATTTGACTCGTCGAGACAAACAAGTATTTTATAGTCCCTTTGTAAAGGACCGCCCTGCTTTGTGGCCTTTTGACAACTATGAAGATAGCATCGCTCTAACTATAAAGGGAAGATATTATAATTTTTCAATCATTCTTTACCTTGTCAACATTATAGATCTTTCAAATAATAATTTGACAGGAGAAATCCCAATTGAAATTGGGTCTCTTTCAATGCTCCAAACTTTAAATCTATCGAGAAACAATTTTGTCGGCCAAATTCCGGCGGCAATTGGTGCCATGAAATCATTGGAAACTCTGGATCTGTCATTCAATAAGTTATCCGGAGGCATTCCTCAAAGCTTTTCTGCGCTGAATTCTCTGAACCACTTGAATCTGTCTTACAACAATCTATCGGGAGCGATTCCATCGGGGAATCAACTTCGGACGCTGGAGGATGCATCCATTTATATCGGAAATGTCCATCTCTGTGGACCTCCGGTGACCAAGAGTTGCTCCGACGATCCCAACGTCGATTCGACGGAGGAGGAGTACGAACAAGGATCTCGTGTGCTGTCATTTTACTTTAGTACCGGGCTCGGATATTTGGTCGGCTTATGGAGCGTGTTCGTGATCATGCTGTTCAAGAAAGATTGGAGGCTCTTCTATTTTGCAACGGTGGACAAGATGTACGACAGAGCTTATGTGGCAATCAAGATAAGAATGCGAAATTGCCATGACGCAGCTGATCGAATGTGATGCAAGTTTCTTTCGTGTTATAAGTGTGATCCATTTCATCTGTCAAAAAGGATCTCGTTTTGAAGATTATGAAATGTTAATCTCAAACTCTGTTTCTGTTCCGATGTAGGAGGCATCGAGAACAACTCGTCTGGTTTGGGAATCCTTCTTCTTCCATCATTGACCGCACAGATCTCTCTCGCATAAACAGGCACCATCGGACGACAAAACTGCACTGATTTAACATTGTTATCAGTTATCGCTACGAGAGGTTCCTTAGCCAAGTGATATAAAGATCACCATTCTGCACAGATTCTTTTCATTGTCGTCGGTGATCGCATGGTGTTCTTGACATTTCGCATCGTTGATCGTTGGGCGCTGTGATGAGCCATTGTTTTTAGGGTGTACGATCACTGTCTGTTGTACTACGACGTCCTTGGCGATCCATTGCATGGTTCCTTTGGCATTTTGCAGTGACGATCTCACGGTTTGGATGTGGCTCATCTCCTTTGCCATCACGAAATCAAGATTTACTCCACGTTTCGGAAATCTATCTTCCGATGCACCAAGTCGCATCGACGATTCGTATCGAGGTTTACTCCACAGACTGCAGGCAGAGGGAGCAGCCCAACCTACCATTCCGGTGCTTGCGAGAAAGGTAGCCGCCACGGGAGGGATCCCACCGAGGCTGAGGCGATGGGTAAAGACAGAGAATGGGCTTATTTCGTGGCCTTTATATAGCCTAAAATTACATATGAATTCACATCTCTTCCATCTAATTTCCAATTATCTTTTTTACGAATTATTGAAGCAGCAAAGTAATAGCCAGGAAGATTACGTGCAATGTGATAGAAGATAAGATTTCCCCTATACGAGGAAATCTTATCTATTCTGTTGAGGAAAATCCTCCCTCCTAATCCTATAAATAGGAGAGGAACTAAAGCTATTTCATTTCTGCAATAAAGCTTCTTTCATTATTGTTCTTATCTTCTATTATTTCTATCATGGTATCAGAGCAGTGAGAAAAGCGAAGCTTCGCCCTTGCCTTCGGCCAGCTACCAACGTCGCTACAGGCACATTCCTAAGAGGTTTCACGGCCAATCCTCATCTTCTACAGTCGGTGGACTTAAGGAGAACGAAGGGCGGACTTAAGGAGAACGAAAGGAACGCCTGTGCCCTCACAGCAACAGCAATCGCAGCAACAGTAGCGATCAACTCTTGCCCTACTCATGAAGCCTCTTGCTTGTAAATCATTCCTTGCATCGTTCCAAGATTGGTATCCTTGTCAGGAGCACCATCTTACGGGGGCATGATAGAAGATAAGATTTCCTCACTATATGAGGAAATCTTATCTATTCTGTTGAGGAAAATCCTCCCTCCTAATCCTATAAATAGGAGAGGAACATGTTAATGTATTTAAGCTAAAGCTATTTCATTTCTACAATAAAGCTTCTTCCATTATTGTTCTTATCTTCTATTATTTCTATCATAATGAACGGCAGGTCAAACAAGGCTTTGGAGTAGAGCCAATGTGGAACCCAATCTGAGGAGGGCCATTAATTGGCCATGTCCTTCCAAGAACAGTATCTTAGTTCGCAAATCTCTTTGAAGACCATCTGTCTTTGCTTTCTTGTTACATACGCATGCAGTTCTTGCACACTTTTGACCGAGGATTCTATTTACGACCCTTTATATTTAGATTATCCTTTATAATTAGATAAAAAATATATAATATAACTAATTAGATTCTGATATAATATATTAGTCAATAGAAAAGAAGTACGTGTAAAATATGATTCGTTATGAGATAATATTGATGGAAGGAAGTCTCCTAATTATTTATTCTAGATCCTCTATTCTTACTTATAAATAGACAAGATCTCTAGGGACTAAACAAGAAAGAAAGAAATTATAATTGAGGGATCAAAGTCACTCTCTAACTCTTCTCTCTAACCATCAATCTTGGATCTAAATATAGAATGATCAATTTTGATATTGAGAAGATTCAGATTAATTCTCTCATATAATCTCCTATTTGAGTGATTGTTGTTTCTCAAATTAATGAAAACTCTCGCATGATGTTGATGTCACCACTGATGAACTTGTAGAACAATCACAATCGATAACTTTGAGAAGATCTCAAAGAAAAAGGAAACATGTAATTTCTGATGATTATGTGGTATATCTACAAGAATCATATTATGATATATGAATAAAAAGAGACCCCTTTTTTTGCTTTCATAAGCCATAAAAAGTAACAATTCTGAAAAATGGTACGATGCAATACAAGAAGAGTTAAAATCAATAATCCAGAATGATGTTTGGGAACTCATTGAATTGCTCGATAATTATAAAAGAGTTGTGGCCAAAGGTTTTTCTTAGAAAAAAGACATCAACTATAACGAGACTTTTTCTCTAGTTTCTAAAAGGAACTCGTTGAGAATCGTCATGGCATTAGTAGCTCATTATGATTTCGAGTTATATCAGATGGATGTGAAAACAACATTTTTGAATGGGGATTTGGCTGAGAAAATCTATATGGAATAACCTAAATGATTCATCGAAAAGGAAAAAGAAAGTTGGGCTTGTAAACTTAAGAAATCTATTTATTGCCTTAAATAAGTTTCTAGATAATAGTATATAAAGTTTCGTAATACCATTACTTCCTTTAGATTTATTGAAAACACTGTTGATCAGTGCATATACTGGTCTTATATGTTGATGATATTGTTAGGAATGAGTCGGCACTAAGAGGGGGGGGTGAATTAGTGCAACGGTAAAATTACGTCAGTTTGAAAATATTCGTTCGATTAAAACCGATTCTTCCAAGGATAACTTGAGAGTGTACGGAAGAGTATAACAGTAAGTAAGGAGGTTTGCAGTAAGATAAATTATACAAAAGAACAGCAAACCATATTTTTATAGTGGTTCACTCATCATGACCTACATCCACTCTATCGATTCTTCTTCCGTCGAGACCATCGGCATCTACTATCGATCTTCTTTCAATGGGCGAAGATCAACTACCATTTTACACCTCTCTTCTTTTTTTCACAGGTTTAGGAGATAACCTTTACAAGCACTCACTCCTCACTTAAACAGAATTCTAGACTTAGAGTAGAGGAGAGAATTTCTCAAGAGATTGCAATAGCGTTTTCTCACTTTTAAATTATTTGTGCTTGTGTATGTTAACCAGGGATAAGAGGTGTATTTATAGGCCTCAAGTTGATTCAAACTTGGAGCCTAAAAATATCTCATCGCGGGTTTCCTAGGTACGGGCGATACCACAGCTTGTGCTGGGTGGTACCACCGCCTAGACTGGCGGTACCACTGCTTGATAGTCTCTTAGAGACTTTGTCTGGGCGGTACCATCGCCCAGACCGGCGATACCATCGCCTGACATAGTCTCGAAGACTATGTCACGACAGTGCCACCTCTTGGGTCATTGTTTGAGCCTTTTATTAGGCTCAACACAGTCCTTACATGGGCCCAACTAGCCCATAATTGGGTTGGCCAAATTCCAATCCCAATTATATGCTAACTACGAATTCTAAAGCATACACTAAGCTAAATAAGTCCGATAAGTCAAGGTTTCTTCCGGCGAACTTCCGACGATCTCTCGGCATGTTCCAACGGACTCCCGGCAAGCTCCTAGACTTCACGATGATATTCTTGGCTAATTTCGATGAGCTTCTCTGGCAAGCTCCTGGACTTCTTGGTTGGTTCCGGTAGAATTTCTGACGAACGTTCGGACTTCTGACGAACTCTCGAACTCCCAACGAAATCACGTTCTTGACTCCGGGACTTCATTTTGCTTTATGCCTTGCTATCGTAGTTAATCCTACACACATAAAACACACTTCGATCTAGATAATTATTACTAAGCATGAATCATGTTGTCCGACATGTCATTAGTCTATCGACGCTTCGTCCGATTCTTCGACGCATCGTCCTCTCTTGTGGGTTCATTGCCCAATCGACCAGTTGACCTCCGCAACTCCGATATCTTTGGGGCAATATCCGCTCTTCTTGGCCTGAAGCCTTATGTCGATACGTCGACCGATCTTCAGGCTTGACGTCCAATCTTTTGACATGTTCCACCGGCCCAACATGATTCTTCCACTTTAATTGTCTCTCCTAGATTGAAGCATCCTGTATCACTCAAAACGCAAATCAAATCATAAACACTTATTAATTAGTTTCATCATCAAAATTTGAGATTCAACGAATATTTTACTTACAAGTAGTGATCTTGGTTTATTGCACGAAACCAAGATATTTCTCAACAAGAACTTTAAGATGGTTTATATGAATGAGGCAGTATATATTATTGACATTGAGATATTTAAGGATAGATCTCAAGGATTATTATGATTGACTCAGAAACCATATATTAATCATATTTTGGAGAGATTTAATATGAGCTAATGATATACCTATTACTAGAGGTGAAAAATTCAATCAAAACCAATGCCCGAAAAATGACTTACAAAAAAATCAAATAAAAATATTCATTATGGGTGTGCAATTGAAAGTCTATTATATGCTCAAACATGTACAAGATCATATATTAGTTTTACAATTATAATGCTATGAAGATACCAAAGTAACCCAGGAATAGAACATTGGAAAGCTGCAATTAAAGTAATGGATATCTATAGGGGACGAAAGATTATATGCTCACATATACGATATCAGATCAGCTTGAAGTGATAGGATATTCAGATGCTGATTTTGCAAATTATCTCGACAGTTGAAAGTCCACTTCTGGATTTGTATTCATGTTAGCTGATTGGGTAATTTCTTGAAAAAGTGTAAAGTAATCGCTTATTGTATCATCAACAATGAAAGTTGAATTTGTGGCATGCTTTGTGGCCACAAATCAAGTTTTATGACTATGAAATTTCATCTTAGGACTTTGTGTGGTTGACTCAATTACCAGACCATTGAAGATATTTTGTGATAATATCACAGTAATTTTCTTCTCTAAAAATGATAAGTACTCTAGTGGTTCCAAGCATATCGAGATAAATTACTCGGTGGTTAGAGAAAGAATCCAGAAACAGTAAGTGTCAATTGACAACCTGAGCACCACTATGATGATTGCTGATCTATTAACAAAAGCTTTATAATATAAAATATTTAAAGAATAGGTTCTTAGAATGAGGCTTGTGAGCTTAATATATGATTATGATTATGCATGTTTAGATAAATGCTATTACAAAATTGTCTTGACAAGATAAATTATATGGGTCATTATGAAATATATTAGGAAAGACTAATAATGTTGTAGTATATAGAAAAAAGTATGACATTGATGATATACAACCGTTATGATTCGTATTGATAGTTGAGCTTAATATAGTATTATTATGTATATTGGACTTATTGGTTTATTTTAAAATTCATGACCATGTATAAAATGATTTTCAAAATTCTTTGAAATCCAATTAGGTAAAATTATTTTAAAATAAATTTTATTTTATTTATTTTGATTTTGAATATCTTTTTTATATCTTATCAATTAATGGGTCAAGTGACAAAATATTAGTTTTTGTGGTCATTTATAATTAGATAATAAATATATAATATAACTAATTGGATTTTGATGTAATATATTAGCCACTATATTAAAGTAGGATTCCTTAGGATACAGGAGAAACTATTTTAATTACTTATTCTAAACCATCTGCTCTCGTTTATAAATAGACATGACTTATAAGGACTAAACAAGAGGAATAGTAATTATAGTTGAGGGATTAAAGTATCTCTTTCAACGCATCTCTTTCAACGCTTCTCCTTAACCATCAATCTAAGTGGTTTTATGAAAGGATAGGAAGAGAGGATATAGTTCATTTTGCAGACTGATAACGATATTGGATTTAAATACGGTATCCTTGTAGATCAAACATCCTTTCAGATGACATCAAAAGGTACATATCGTAAAATCAGATCTAATTATTTGATTTTAATTTTGACATAAAAGATTATTTTTATATTTAATATAGTATATTATAAATTTTATGCTGACATCACGGCTAGGTTGACAATGAATTAAAGGTTGCGATGAGGTTAATATGTACAAGTATCTCTACTGAATGTTTTGAAGGTTATGTGACGCACAATCTCAAGCTTTTTTTTTTTTTTTTTCGTTTGTTCATTATATGCTTGGAAATATTACAAATATTATACGACCAATCTTGGTTTTTCTATGATTGGCTGCAGTAATGGTTTGTTGATTAGATGGTCGTATGATGATTTCGAGTAGGATGGATCCAAGGAATGGTTTGGTCTCTCACGTATAGATGATAAATGCTGGAACAAGCAAACGATTGAATGAAATCATACAATTATTTATTTTTCATATATTTTATATGTTCAATATAACATACAATTATATTATAATTTGTTTTTGAAAAAAATATTAATGAATGCGTAATTCGATCAGTCATTATATCCCCAGATTTCACATGAATATTATACTAGATTTAATATTATTTTTTCTTTTATCAATAACTATATAAACTTCTCCGGCAATCATTAACAAAAACAAGCACGCTTACGTACAAAAAAACTCACGGAGTCACCCACATCTCCAAGGTAGCTCAGTGCATGTCATCCGTCCATTTGGGTGTTAGCCAGGATGATCTCTCCAGAACAAAAGCATAGGGGAATCAACTTGGGATCATGGAAGACCCATCCATTTGGGTTGTAAATCTATATCTTTATTGGTGATTAGGTAATAAGAATTGCATAATCAAGTTAATTTTAAATAAGTACGAAATCATTAATTTTGAAGGGAATAAAAACAAGTGCAATTTTGTAGAAAACGAAAGAGATAAAAAGAACAGAAAATTTGCAGCCATTTCTTTCGCTCCTGTGGGGACAATTCCCCACAAAATTCATCACAAAAATGGTGGGAAATCCTCATCATCTTCACCACTTGTGTGTCAAACGAATCAATTTGTTGCGTGACTTTGGGTTCCCAACAAAGATTTCCACACATGTGAAAGCGAAGCGTGCGTTCCGCTACAAACATCGTTGAGTCTCCCTCTTTCGGAAGGACGCTACATGTAAAGCGATGGCTTACCGTGTTATCTTGGGTGAGGAATCGTTTGCGGTGGGTCGGAGTCTTCATCCACGTTGTCTTCCGTGATGACGTTTGACATGTCATGGCGACATTTCGACCCCTGGAATAAGGTATTCATCGCCTCCATACATTTTATCTTGGCTAAGAAGATGATGCGTTCCGATGTGCGGACATCAGAATCAAACCGTGTGGAATGAGGGAGGCATGAATTCGATTCCACACTATCGCATTCGGGCCGAATGAGACGTTCTACGCAATCCAACAAGGCCGATTAAATGGCCGTTTCTTTCAAGTTTGTAATCCAGTATCAATCTCTTTCGTTCTTGCGAACCGAGCCCCAACTTTGGGACCCAGGCAGGGTAGAAACCAAGTTCGAGTAAGCTGCAAGGTGCACAGACTGCAGGTCCGGCAGGAGTCGAATCCCACAAAAGTCATGTTTTTTATCTATACATCGCTACCAGTGCATCAATCTTAACGTTTCACAGGAGTCTATGATGGGTTGCGGGAGGGGAGGGCCATCACGCCCCCACACCCACTCTATATATACATGTCCTCCGCCGCCTTCCATCTCTCAGTACACTATCCACTCACCAAATAGCCTCATGGACTATTGCACCAGTAGCACACACCCTGTGCCACGGCACTACTCTTTCGGGCGTTGGCTTACGAGCATTCTTTTGTTCACGGCGGCAACAACGCCGACGACGAAGGGGTGCGTAGAGGGTGAGAGGGACGCCCTCCTCGACTTCAAAACCGGCATCGTCAAGGATCCTTCTAGCAGTTTGTCATCATGGCGAGGCCGAGTAGACTGCTGCAGATGGAGCGGGGTGGTCTGTGACAACAGAACCGGCCATGTCGTGGAGCTCAACCTCCAGAATTCCGACCCTTATAACTATGAGACGTCTATCGGAGGTGAGATCAGACCATCCTTGCTCCTTCTAACTCATTTGGAGCGCCTCAACCTCAGCTACAATGACTTCGGTGGGATCCAAATCCCGAAATTTTTGGGTTCCCTTACCAAGTTGACGTATCTCGACCTCTCCTGGTCCAACTTCAGCGGAGCCATTCCGCCCCAGCTGGGCAACCTGTCCAGCCTCCGCTATCTCGATCTCAATTCGGGTGGCTTATCGACCGATGGCCTGCACTGGCTCTCGCGTCTCACTTCCTTGAGATACCTCGACATGAGCTTTGGGAATCTTTCCATGGCCTCCCACAATTGGCTTCAAGCGGTGAACATGTTGTCCTCACTGGAGGAGCTACATTTACAATACTGTGGCCTCACCGACCTCCCCTCTTCTCTTTCCCATGTCAACCTCACGACGTTGACCACTCTCGATCTCTTTGGCAACCTCTTCAACTCCACCATCCCCAACTGGCTATGGAAACTCCACAGACTCTCTTATCTTGATCTCAGTTTTTCTATGTTTCATGGTGCCATACCCGCTGGGATTGGAAATTTGACTGGTCTAAGAGAACTTTATCTTGGTGTTAATTCACTTTCAGGTCCCATACCCACTGAGATTGGAATTTGGAATAGTTTAAAACTTATCGATCTGAGTGGTAATTCACTCTTTGGACCCATACCTGATGGGATTAAGAATTTGACTCGTCTAAGAAAACTTTTTCTTAGTTATAATTCTCTTTCAGGTCCCGTACCCACTGAGATTGGAATTTGGAATAGTCTAAAATATATCGATCTCAGTAATAATTCACTCTTTGGACCCATACCTGCTGGGATTGGAAATTTGACTGGTCTAGAATATATAGATCTTAGTGGTAATTTACTCTTTGGAACGATACCTACTGAGATCGGCAAGCTTTCCAACCTCATTTTTCTTTCTCTCTCTAGTAATTCCCTAGAGGGCACCATGTCTGAACTCCATTTCGCTAACTTAACCAAACTAAGTGAGCTTGATGTATCCGAAAACTCCCTAGTCATCTCAGTAGGCTATGATTGGATTCCTCCTTTTCAACTCCAATCCATTCAACTGAAGTCTTGTAAGTTGGGGCCTGCATTTCCAAGATGGCTCCGTTCACAAAACTCCATTAACGATTTGGGTATGTCGAACACAAGCATCGAGGACGTCTTGCCTGATTGGTTTTGGAACATTCCCGCTTTTTCTATAAATCTCTCCCAAAATCAGATTAATGGTACTTTGCCAACTTTCTTGGAGCACATGACAAACCTGTCCACTCTGAAACTAAGTATGAATTTGCTTGAAGGCCCTATTCCTCGTTTGCCACCTAACTTGAGTTATTTGTATCTGTATAATAATTCCTTTTCGGGATCGTTGTCATCAATTTCTCTCCCACTAGAATTGGAACTGTTGGATCTCTCACATAACCATATCAGTGGGAGCATACCATCATTTGTCTGCAACTTGACTCAACTTCGTATCCTCGATCTATCGAGCAACCAAATATCAAGTGAAATCCCTTGGTGTTGGCAAGAGACAAACTTTATTATCTACATTAATCTAGCAGATAATAAGCTCTCGGGAGAAATTCCTAGCTCTATTGAAAAGTTGACTCAGCTACGGTCTTTGCACTTAAACAATAATAGTCTACATGGGCATCTTCCGTCGTCATTGAAAAATTGCAGTGGACTAGTTTTTCTTGATCTTGGCGATAATAAATTCTCAGGTAGCATACCTACGTGGATTGCACAAAATTTTCAAAACCTAGAGGTACTCCGGCTATGCTCAAATATGTTTTCTGGTAACATTCCTTCGGAGCTTGGACAACTTCATCATCTACATATTATCGACCTTGCTAATAATAATTTATCAGGGCCAATTCCACGCTCCTTTGGCAATTTAAATGCAACAAAAACTTATAGGCAACGAAAATTGACGAGTCTAGGCCAACATATAACTTATGATGCATTAGTAAAAACTCGCTCTGCTTTGTCGAATTTTGATGGCACTTATGATGATAGCATCACTCTAACTATAAAGGGAAATAGTCTCATCTTTTCGATCATTGTTTACCTTGTCAATATTATAGACGTTTCAAATAATAATTTGACAGGAGAAATCCCAGTAGAAATTGGGTCTCTTTCGACACTCCAAACTTTAAATCTATCAAGAAATAATCTTGTCGGCCAAATACCAGCGACAATTGGTGCCATGAAGTCATTGGAAACTCTGGACCTGTCATTTAATAAGTTATCCGGAGGCATTCCTCAAAGCTTGTCAGACTTGTATTCTTTGAATCACTTGAATCTGTCTTACAACAATCTATCAGGAGTTATTCCTTCGGGAAATCAATTACAAACACTCAATGACGCATCCATTTATATTGGCAATGCATATCTATGTGGAGCTCCCCTCACCGAGAGTTGTTACAGTATTAAAAGTAACAATGTGACAAAAGAAAACAACAAAGACGGATCCTTTATGTCATCATATTATTTGAGTATCATACTCGGATATTTGGTTGGATTATGGAGCATGTTTATACTCATGCTGTTCAAGAAAAATTGGAGGGTTTTCTATTTTCAGATGGTTGATAAAATATATGATAAAGCTTATGTTGCCATCAAGATAAGAATTGCTTCATCGACAACTGATTGAGGGTGAAGACGACATCAAAAGTGGGAGTGTTTGTATGTTGTATCCATGATAAGTTTGAATCTTCAAAACTGACATCATCTTAGAGATCATGTAATGATTGCTTTTCAAACTCTTTCTTTTTGGTTTCATCTTTGTAAATATTATGTGTGTATTGTGATGATGGAAACATAATCGTTGAAACATGCTGGTAATAATATTGTTGTGAAGAATGAATTGAATTATTATAATATAATATTATGTTATATATTTTATATTTTTAATATATTACAATGTATTATATTATTTTCAAAATAATATTAAATATCGATCCACCGATTCAATCGTGAATCCGATGACCTGAGACTTGGCCAACACCTATGCTGACGATAACGCCATAAAAATCCCACGGTATTATGCGCTTAATGTAAACTGTCATGCTTTCACGTCATGTGCTTATGGAAAAGGAAGACTGACCGAGTCAACGTTGGGG